ACCCTACTGTATATGCTATTAGAGTACCTTTGTATTGGTGTAACTGGTTGTATTTTTAGTGATCTGAGCAATGGATCCTTAATTGTGCTGCAGTGAATTCTCAGGGACTCCTTCTCTGTGTCTTTACGTACCCCACAGACAGCCTGGATTCCCATCTCAGTTCAAGCTCTGTGAAATTGTCCTTACTGTTGCAACATTGAGAACTTTTCTGTAAAATGCCTTGGTCATCTTCTCTGATACCAGTAATGCAATATTGCTGGTAGGATGTATATGAGAAGGATATAGGTGACTGGACAAAGTATAGGGTGTTGAGGCCTGTCCTGTTGGAGTGTGGACCCTGGAGAGCACTACCCCTCGCAAAGTTCATTTGGGGTTTTTCTCTGCCAGCATCAGCCGGATCACCTCAACTCTGGTGCATTTCTGTGGCGTGTTTCATCATGTAAGTAATTTGTATGGCTGGCGAATTCACTCTCAGAGCCAATTCTGTATCATCTGGTAACCATTTAATCTACACTAGGGAAGAGTATATGAATCTTTTTCTTATAATGATATAATGCAGTAGAACTTGTTCTTGAGGTTGAAGCCTTACTAATAGGAAGAACAGCCCCTGTATTCCTCCTTGAACTTTTCAGTGACTAAAAATTCTGCTAATCAGTTTGGAATGAATAGTATCACTCCTTCACCTGCTTAGTATCTGTTTCTATTAAAAGCAGTATGGACTTCCATGTGCAATATATTATACCCAGATACATACACAGACAACAGTAAATACAATCAATACCATACCTTCCGCTTACTATCTGTATAATACCTTAAGAGTGCATAATATTTTACAGAGGGAAGTATTTTATGCTTTACTCCATAGAGCTTACCATCCTTGTTAGACTTAATACAACAAAAACAACACATGGGAAGCTGTAATAGCCATAAACAATGTTGAAACTCATACTGCTTTTGCTGTTTGTCACTTTCTTCTTGGAACTGTACAGTAAGTCTGGAAATTTGGGTACTTTGAAATGTTGAAAAGAAGTTTGAAGATGACAGGCAGGGATGAATTCTATTTGATTCTTTATCAAAAACCACCAAAAATCAGTTGGTTAACTATCTGTATTTTGTATTAACCAATTTGTACAGTGAAACTCGGATCAGAAATTTAAAGCTGAGCAAAAGTATTATTCTTGCACAATGCTCTGTTCAGTGTTCAGTAGTCATTGAGAAGGCGAGGAGGAGATAAGAGGGAAGGCTATTTGTAATGTGCTTCCCTCCCCCTTTTTTTCTTGTACTTTATTGAAAAGACCTGCCAGCTTGACAAATACCATCAGCAAGGAAAGGAATTATTATATCTTCAGCCCTCAAGGGTTTCTTATCTCAAAACCAGCCTTTATTATGGTTTTATGGTTTTCCTTCGGCATTAAATTCCACTTTTTCTTAAATAAATTTCTAAGTACAGGAAACAGTATGTATTTGTATATATATTTGTAAAAATACAAAAAATAATGTGCAACACTTTCCAATATCAGATGAAAATTTAGTGTGTGTTTTTTTTAAATTGTTTCCTTTACCATCAAAGGCATATGAGCTCAAACATGCTGTTTCTGTTAATATGCAATGACTTACAGCAGCAAGAACTTGATTGTAAAGTATAACAGCAAGATTTTGCTGGTTGGTTGTAGTGTTAAAATGTTTGCTTTTTATAGCTTTTAAAATGGAAATATTTTCTTGAAATAAAAATTAAATTCATGATTGTTGATCACTTATTTCCAATAAATAATATTGCTCTTAGTCTGAATTTCTTACATAGTTCAAACACCATAGAGGCATCAAATGCCAGTGTTATGCTGGGATATGGGGAATACCTGTTTATATTTAATACTGCTCTTACCTTCATCTGAAACTTGTGATCATAAGTAATTAATCGGTGCCCTAGTACTATGATCTCTCCTGTGGAAACTGTTTCAGGAACAAAATCTCTCTGGCATGTATGTACTCTCACCATTCTATTCAAGTAGAGAAAATAAAAAAAAAGAACAATTGTGAAAGGTGAGGTATTAATACTATAATTTTATGATAATATAATGTTAACAATGATAGTGACAAAGGTAGAAGTTGAGAAAGAGGCAAAATTTTGGGGATGCATTGGTCCTATAAGACAGTGAATGAAACTTATTACACTTTCTTTTTCTTCAAACTACTAAATCCATTCTGAGTCCACCATCTGATGTTGAAATTATTGCTGTTTGGACCATCTGTGTTACTCTAGTAATAATGTGCTTTTCGTTTCTATTTCCAATTTATAAAAAGATGTAATTTATTTATCTATCACAGCCACAGTCTCACTCTGACTCTATGGGCTCAGGCTGTGATTCTGTGGAAGCCTAAGTCAATCTAGCGGTGTATGGCTGCAGTTTTGCCCATAACCATGCTGTCCTGCCCCCTCTCATGTGCCGAGTCCACCTTTGTGTGACCTTGCACCAAGCTGTTTCAGCATGGTATGCTAACAGGAAGCCGACTGGACAAAGTGCTGCTGTGAATAATTTTCTGCATTATAAGTGCCAGAACAGCAGCACTAACAGAGATGAACTGTTCTGACAGTGGGAAAGAGAACAGGACCAGCGTAGCCAGCAGTTAGAGTGACTTAGGCTTTGTGTGACACCAACCTCGAAGACAATTTGTCCCTCTTGGATCTCCTAATATCCATTGTTGTTGTTTTAAGCTGGGGAGGGAGGAGGGGTGTTTGAGTTTCTTTTTGGTTTTTTTTTTATTTTTTAACCTTAAGCAGACTTCCTTGAAATATGTGGTCTGATGGTGATATTCCTTTATTTTTTAATCATATCTATAACTTGCATAAATTATTCCAAATTTTAAAATTAAGTAAGTATACCTTATTTAGATGTGGCTGTCATTGGAATCTTACAGGTAAATAAATTCAGCAATATTAGGTGAAAATTAACCTGCGTAATAATTGCATTAAGACCCTGAAAACAGGTTTCAGATGTGCTCCCCACAGTCTTGCTCTATGCCAGTGACCTTTTCCGACTGTTGGTCTCTATAGGACACTTCTGCTTCTTTGTGGTACTAACTCTGACTGCGCAGCTTCTACAGGCATGTACTCTGTTTACTTCTGTATATTATGGAGAGTATGCTGAGCAAATAGGTCATTTTTATTATGTCTTAGTGTCCAAATTGATAGCTTTGCAACTCATTTAAAAGAAAAAGTGTCATCTTGTTATTCTGGCTTCAAACCACATTAAGGCAAAATACTAGTAAGTTTTCATTGAGAATATCTGAAAGGACAATATAATTATCAAAGACCTATATATGTGTGTGTTTGTGTGTGTGTGTATACATATATATAAAAATAAAGCCACAGTTTTATTTGGATTAAATTGGAGAGCTCTCTCTTTAACTTCTTTTCAACTTTGGATGTAATCCTTACCTTTGTGTGTTCTTTTAAATGAGAAAACTGTAACCCTCTGTCTGATCTAAAAGTTTTCCTGAAAGTTTATCCTACCTGTCTCCAAAACCCATTATGATGACAAATTCCAGAAATGGATTGCCTGCTCTGTAGAAAAGTACTTTCTTTGCTCCGTTTTAAAGGGATTTCCTTGAAGTAACTGTGGGATTTGAATATTTGAAGTCAGTAAAGTTCAAGTAGGAAATAACGAAGGAAGGACTAATTGTTCTAAAGAAATAAAAACCCAATCAGGACAGAAAAATGAAACCACACCAAAACCACATTTGTAAATGCTCTTACTGCAGTACTAAAAGAAATATGCTTCAATAGTTAATTTGAAGTGAAGATATTGATACAACATTCATCTCAAATACTTGGCGAAAGTAATTAGTAACATATTTAAATCAAGATACCAAAAGTAAGACGATAATGAGATGGGCTGCACAGCTGGAGGAGTGGTAGTTTATTTTAAAGCACTTATGAAAAGAAGTAAGTTTACCGTCACAGATGTTAAATGAAATACATATGAATTGAAATCCTTTGGCTAATTTGAGAGTGCATAATGTTAGGGCAATATTACTGATCACTTGATGACAATGATGGCAGTGGTTGTTCTTGTGGATGTTGAAAAGGGCTGTGAAGGCAGAGAACTGTATAATAAAGGGACACTTCTGTGAGTGTCCTCTGGCCTTCATAAATGCCATGATAGATAAGTGTTGCTGACAGGTTCTTGGAGCACCTGCTCAACAAATGCGTCTAAAAGGAGTAGCTGTTGATTTATTCTTGAGCAATGCAAATAAAGCTTCTCAGAACTAGTGACTGTAGTGTGCTCAAATCCTGCCATTTCTGGAAGTGTAGAAGAATCTTCATGCATATTAATCTTTTCTCCAGAAAATCCATCAGTGATGCATTTAAAAGGGGGATCTACCTAAAAATCCAAAGCCTACTAAAAAGAAATGAAAAGAAGGACCAAAAATTACAAAATGGCATTAATGGAGTGTGTTTAAAGATTGATAGTGTGTATATCACTGATCTGTGATATATGTTGATAAATGCATACCACTGCAAATAAAGACTCTAGAAGGACCCTATGAAGTCCAAATAAATATCATGTTTAAACAACAGAATAAAGAAGATTATCAGTAGAAAAAAGCAGCTTAGCTTTCACCTAGTGACAACAGAAAAAAAAAAGTCTGTCAAATCCTGCTGATTTTGCAGAACAATTTTAAAACCCCCTAAAAATTAGTATTAAGAATGGTTTTAAATACGTCAGTCAAATTTTGTTTCAGAGTTTGTGAGACTAGTAGGTGATGAAAGCATGTTAAGAACATTTGAGGGTCATGAGGTATAGATGGTCTGTTTTTACAATGGAGACAGCAGGGGTTACCTGCACTGATCCCTCTGGGAAAGGAGGGTAAATAGGCAATAAAGTTAGTTGATGCTTAAAATACAAAAGAGTGATAAAATCTATCTTGCATATATTTTGCTGAAAACTTTTGGAATTATTTTATATATGTTTTCATATGCTTTTTGTTTTGTCTTTCAGCTTGTGATGAATGGAAGATTTTACCAAAACCTAATCTGCATCGAGATGTCAATAGATTTGGTCACACTGCTGTTGTCAGTAATGGGTAAATGAAATGTATTTTAAATTTTTCTGACCGTTTTTCTGAATGATAAAAACTGTGGCAGAAATTATACCTATGTGAAGCATGGTTCAATGATATACAGCTGATGTAATTTTTTAACATGAAAAGTAGTGCTCATCAGGGACTTTACTTGTCTTAGGTAATCAGTACAGCTAATTATCAATTTGACATGCTGTGGAATCTATTCAATGATATTTTATATGAACCTTCTAGTGTACTGAGGTGTTTCCTCAGTATTGTGAATTACACTGAATTTGAAATTCGGTACCAACTATAATCCTCACTTAGATGTGATGGGAGAAATCTTTTTCTCTTTGCAGCATGCTATAGTTCCTTGTTCTTCTACAATCATAAAATCAAAAACATGTAACTAAAATTTGCTTCGAAAAAGTAAGATTTTGAAGGTACTGATACAGTGATCATCATTAACCACTTGCAGGAAAAAAAGCCTGCCAGCATCTAGACTATATTAAATATATTGCTTATCCTCTATAAAAAGTAGCATACTTTCATGTCATTTGTGGAGTAGAGGAGCTCAGTAAAGCTTCATCATCTAGAAACAGGAAATGGAATGGATCTGGAGTTTGCTGGATTTGATGGCTGAACTCTCTGCTTCCCCCACCCCAACCCCCAAAGATAAAATTGTAGGACAAACGTCTCCTTTTTAGTGGAAAAGTTGTAGAAAACTGTAGTCAAGTTTAAAGAAATTTCTACTGTTTGCTTGTGTCAGTTTTACTATTGCTTGCTGCCAAATGGCCTAATATCTGACTGTCCTGGTTTCGGCTGGGATAGGGTTAAATTTCTTGCTAGTGCTGTGTTTTGGATTTAGTATGAAGAGAATGCTGATAACACTGATGTTTTCATTTATTGCTAAGTCCCCTCCTAGTCCAAGGACAGCTCCCATGCCTACTGACTGAGCTAGGTACACAAGAGGGGAGGGAACATCATCAGGACAGCCAGCTCAGCTGGCTAATGGGGTATTACATACCATGAGATGTCATGCTCAGTATATGAATGGTAGGCGTGATCCAGGAAGTACCGATCGCTACCTGGTTATCGGTCAGCGCGGGTGGGGAGCAATTGCATTGTGCATCACTTATTTTGTATATTTTATCATTATCATTATTATTCTCCCTTTTCTGTTTTATTAAACTGTCTTTATCTCAACTCACGAGTTTTTCTCACTCTTCCCCTTCCGATTCTCTCCCAGTCCCACCGGGAGGGGGGAGTGAGTGAGCGGCTGCGTGGTATTTGGCTGCCTGCCAGGTTAAACCATGACACTGACAGTTGCAGTACTACAGGTTATTGTACTACTGATCATCCCTCTTCTACGTTATTCATCACTCTCATAAACTCAGTATTTAAGTATATGCAGGCAATTTCCAGATCCTCTACATATGGATATTGTATAGGTCAGAAATAATGGTAGTAATAAGTAATACTACAAAAAAGAATTTGACTGATTTTAACAAAAATAGCAGTAAGTTGTAACTCTGTACACAGAGCACTTGAAATTAATCAATGAACAGACTACTTCATTAAGAGAAAATTGCTTGAAATTAATGAATTCAGGAACCGGTGATTTCTGTTAAGACTTCTAAGCTATGTCTGATACTTTGAGAACCGTCACTTTCAATGAATTAGATTTGAGGTGAAAATGCCTTTTTTTTTTTTTTTTCCTGGACTTAATGGTATTTTTATTAGGGTTTTATGTACAAAAAAGTGTAATACAAGATACTCTCCAAAGATTTCTGTTATTGGCAACTGTATGATTAATTCTGTTTTAAGAGTGTATGATACAACAGGTATACAGGTTCTTTATTATTATCTTTTACCTGAGGTTGTTCTTAATTTTAAATGAGAAGGGTAAGGTCTTAAGTCTAGTCTTCTGGTTCTGATGGCAGCAGCTACTGCACCAGAAATGTTACCAAAAAGAAATATCCATCTGCCAATTATTACTGGCTGTCTTTGAAATCTTCCTGAAGAAAAATGTTCTCATTTCCTGCAGTCCATTATTTCACACTCTGTTCTCATTATCTAACTCCAAAAATGAGTAGTTTCCTCCATAGCTCTTCTTTCTTCTTTCCAGATATTTGGTATATGTCACTCACTAATACATATAGCACAATGCACTTTGAGCAATTTTTTTGTTAGTCTAAACCTCCATGGAGAAACACATTGAAAAACTTATCAATCTTTATAATGGAACCACTGACAGAGTCTTTATTAGAGAGAGGTGAAGAATGTTTTTTATAATATTATGTGTTTTTTTTTTATTGTATATCAAGACAGCTAAAGAAATCAAGAAAAAGTGTCTATAACTACAATAAAAAAAACAGTTATATTTACTTGCTTTTTCCTAATAGGTCCATGTATATATTTGGGGGTTTTTCGAGTGTTCTTTTGAATGACATCCTTGTGTACAAGCCTCCAAACTGTGAAGCATTCAGAGATGAAGAGCTGTGTAAAAATGCTCGTCCAGGGATAAGGTGTCTGTGGAACAAGAAACATTGTGAATCCTGGGAATCTGGACATGCTAATAACATCCTTAGAGCAAAATGTCCTAAGAAAACAGGTAAGTGAATTTTAGTCTTACAGTGTCAAATCTGCAATGCGATGTAGGAGATGGGGGGGAAAAAACCACCTAAAATGCCCCCCCAAAGACCAACCAGGTGGAATTAGTGATTGGACTGTTAAGAATGTTCCTCCCTGAGAATACCCAATGCAAGAGATTTATAGATTAATTTTTAAAATAATTCAATTGCGGAATTTTTTTTGATTTTAAATACAGGGAAGTAGGTGCAAAAGAGCACAAGTTTAAGGTGCTAAGGGATACAAAGCATAAGAGGGCTCAAAGAAAAGAATTTACTTCATTGGGGAGCTAAAGCATAAAATGACTTTAGATTGGATTTGGCTCAGTGTGTTCGAAGCATTTATAAAAGGGTGAGCTTTGAAATATTGTAACTGAATTAATTTTCCTCTTTCTCCACCTTCTCCTGTTTCAGGATACACACACACACACACACACATATCTATCTATCTATCTATCTATCTAAAAGCCTTAATATTTTTCTGATTCCAAGAAAGCATAACAGCAATCAGAGCACAGATGGGTGCTGCAAGTGATATCTGGCACTACAGGCATATGGCGCTTTCATGTCTGTATATACCAGTGACAGAGAGGGAAAGCATCACTGCTTCAAGTATATTACCTATCAAACAGGAGTATTTATATAGAAGAATATAATACAGTCTAATACAGTCACATCTGGAAGCAAACGTGAGGCAAACAAGCCCTTTGCTGCAGTATGTCAAAATGGGTTCAAGTTTGTCACATGAATTTCTATGTGGCATTGTGATAGCCATATTGTTTGAAACAGCAATTTAGCATTATGAATAACAGTTGCATCCTATTCCTAAGTATGTTGGCTTGTCACAGATAAATTGCATGTGAAAGTGTTATTCTTATACTTCCCATGAACAGAATATGCATCCCTGCTACATACACCTTATATTTTTCCTGTGCATCTTTCCTTTCAGCACAGCATAAAATAGCTAACCAAACTTTGGCTGTGTACTACATGTACAAACTACCATACAATTAAACTGCCAGTCTACTTTTAATGTTTGTTAAAAAATTATTAGGTCTGCTGTTAATCAATGCTTCAAGACAGTTTATGCTTCTGTTAGCTTTTATTTGTTTCTGAATGGGATATAAAGTTGCAAACTTGGAAAAAAGGTGCATTATATAACAAAAAGGTTATCCAGGTAAAGCTTTCTGAAGAACTGCTTTTGTATAGTTTCGTAACATTTAGAGATCTAGAGTCTAGAAAGTTCCAGCTCTTTATAAAAAGAAAAATCTTGAGACACTAAATTAAAAAGTAATACAGATGAAAGTGGATTTTATGAAAAGCTGATCATATCAACAGGTGTTTAAAAAAATAAACAAAACAAAGGACAGACAGCCTGAAGGAAAATAAAAAAGTTAGAGCAGTTTCTAAAGTACAGCTGCTGCAGTGGGAATAAACTACAACTAAACTTGCAAGAGAGGTAGATGTGTAGAATTCCAGTTCCGAAGAAGTTGTGTGGACAGCACTGCTTCACTGTTGCCAAATCCTTTGTTTCAAGTGGTAATATTCTGCCAAAAGCCAATTTTTCATATATTCTTTTATACCACTTGGCTCAATTGTTATCTGGTTGAGAGCATTATCTGAGAAACTGCTGATAGTCAATATTAAAGGATAAGCAGAAATTTTAGTGGGTTTTCAAAAGATTAATTCTTCGATAGCAAGGCTTTCCTGGCAAGAGAATCTCTTAAACTTGCATGATCCCAGGACTAAAGAAGCCAAACCACACAGGAGTTAAGCACGGTAATCAGTGTAGGAGATGGTAGGAACTCTCCTGTTTTGGGTCATGGTGACTTTTCAAATTTTTGTCTCCTTTAAACAGAAGGAATCATTTGTGTCCCAAACTGTTTTAAATAACATAAATTTTAGTCCAAGTCCTAAAGGCTTGTATTGAGGATTTAATAGGAACTCTTCCTCAAATATTTTTTGTAGAGAAAGGGCAGAACTATAACTTACCAATTATTAGGTTTATAAATTAATTTATAAAGACTTAAAATGTCCATGTGTTGCTAATATCTGTCTTAGATTTTTTTATTTACTACTTTTACCATTGCCTTCTTGCATAGCAATCTAATATTTTTATCAGAAACCTGCATCTGAAGAAAATCTTTATTCTGTGTTAGAGGAGCGAAGAATGAATAGTTTTAGAAACTTTCTGTTAGTCTTAATTTATGCACTGTGCTAAGAGAGTTTGTATGCTGCAAATCAGTGAATATTCCTTTAGTTGATATGAGACTTATGAATCTTCAAATATGGTTGTTACTAAAGGAATTTTTAAAGGAGTAAATCTTATTAACTGAATAGAACTAATTTCCTACAGTAACTTAAACCTTTAGGAATGGCTAGAGTTCAAATGAAGGGTGTAACAGAAAATACTCTAAGCAAATGTTTAAAATGTGGTATTATTCTACTTCTGCGCAATGTTTCTTTTTGACTTTTTGACTTTCATGTGTATTACAGCTGCTGCAGATGACAGATGTTACCGATACGCAGACTGTGCGAGCTGTACTGCCAATACAAACGGGTGCCAGTGGTGTGATGACAAGAAGTGCATTTCAGCAAATAGTAACTGTAGCATGGTGAGTCTTTGCAAATCTATGATCATGTTATTAATACTGTTTCTTTTCTAGCTAAACCAGTGGCCTGTTGCAGCAAAGGAAAGGGGTATAGTAGACTAATAGTAGCTTGTTTTGAACACAAACATAAACATGTTTGCCTGGCTCTTGCAGTAAAAATGTTGCAGAGGGCAGAGTTGGACTGCAGCAAAGATATATATTACAGGGGAAAAAATTAATGTATTCTTTAGAATTGTGTTAGCCCATTGTATATCTCTCAGGACAAATACTATTATCTCCTAATTAATGACATTTGGAATGTCCCAGAGACATTATCAACTTGGATTTTGTGCATATGCGGTGTACAGTATGCAGGCAGAAACAATGGAATCCCATGAAGGATGGCTGTTCAGTTTTTTTTCCACTTTCAGACAGGACCAGGTCAGTCTCATTAGTCTTGGTATTCTGATCATTGATCATCATAGAAATGTTTTTCTTTAAGTCATGGAGTTACTTGTCATCTCATTAAAGGAATATGAGTCTCTGTCACATGAGATTAACTGGCTTGTGATGATTAGGTAAGATTATTATGATTTGGTAAGATTATTCTGATCTTTGTATAGGCAAGCAGTAAGAACATATAGATTCATACAAGTTTATATTTTTCGATTTTTAGTATTGCTTAGTGCCATGTTTTATACTTTGTTGTTGTCCACCAGCTGCTGCATCTCTTGCTTGTTCATTTGATTTTTGATAAACTTATAATAGTATTTTTGCTTTATAAAATTTGCCTCCTGATATTTTTCATCTAGCTCCAGACACCTGGCTGTACTTAAGTTCAAAATCCTTTCTTTACACACTTCCATTAGTAAAAGTAGCTTGTGCTCTGGTTTGAACCTGATGCAAATCAATCTTTTTCTCCAGAGAGTCAAATTAAGGTGTGAGTTGGATTGACTCTGACTCAAATCTTGCCCATTCAAAGTGAGCAGAGCCAGCTCTAATCACTGGCATTCATAGCTAGTCCCTACTAATAAAAGCAATGCAGACACAATTTCATCAGCAGCCATGTTACAAGTCTGTCAGAGTGATTTCACATTCCAGGCACTAATGGTTAGTTTCCTTTGATCTTCAAAGGCTCTTCCTTTCCTAACACATTATTGTACATTAAGCGCCAATTTTCTAATCGTGGTTTTCAACTCTTAAGCAAGGAACAGTTGCTAAGGAGCAGACCATCTTCATCCCTAATAAATGTGGAGAACTGGGTATTTTAGCACAAGCATCTCAGTTCAGTATCCTTCTCTGACAACCTTTCATGACGAAGATTGTCAGCATAATTAGCAACTGATGCATCAGTCTTCTCTATATCATTTCCTGTCTTTTATTCAGGGTTTGAAGTGGATAGCGGAGTTACTGAAGAATGGGATAGTGAAAATCCATCGAAATGATTTTTGAAAAGAGTTACTGTCATAAGATGATGGTTGCTATTGCAAAATTAGTGTATTGGCTGGGAGATGATAGAGACAGAATTTTGCAGCTATCGACATAAACCCACCAAAACAGCATCAACAGAATGGCACCATGTGGAGAAACAGAATTGATCAGGCTGATTATCCATTTTCATAGACTGCTACTTCTGGACTAGGCCCACAAAATGAAAATGTTGTGACAATACTGTGATGGTAATATGGGATAACAAGCTGTAGACTCAGAAACATCACAAGGAGAAGGCCCCATTTTTTGCAGCCGTACAGAGACCTTGATTTATTACTTAGATGATAGAACATCCAGATTAGACAGACAATAATGTTTTAGAATCCGTTGCTTTTGCTTCATGGAAACTGGCCAGCATACTAAAGATATGTTGGCAATCAGTTTGGCATTGGCCTCGTGGTCATGGATATTTGCAAAGCAGTGACTGTTTGCTGATTGGAAGAGCTGTAAAATATGGAAATTTCCCTGAAATAACTCTGTTTGGACAGATGGACTTCATAAGTAGTACTAATGCATTGATGATACACATATACCTGCCTACGCTCACCATCTGATGTGGGTCAGCACATTAACAGGACGCTATATTCCACTACTATGCAGACTCACGGATCATCAAGGTATATATCATTACACTCATATCTAATGTAATTGCAAGCAGACGCTTGCAATGCCAGGTCATTCTGGAGGTCTGGCTTATTTCAGCACTAGCAAGTTGGTTTGTTTTTCTCCCATAAAAACTCACATAAGTGGTATACTTCTGCATACTATGGCTTTAGTTGACCCCATCGTATCTGATGCAAATATTGAGGGGTGAATGCTTATTCTGTCTTGCCCAACAGGGAGACAGTTTACTTTAAAATATGTGGAGTGGTTCAAGATGGTGCTGAAATTTGGCTCATGAGTAGATTGAACAGCATGCTAGTAGTAGTGCCTTGTCTGTTTTCTACCATTAAATATATCTTAAAGATTTTATCTGTTATAATAAGGATTTTGAAGGTTGCCTTGAGAAATTACACCATTGAAATTCCCCAGACTGCTTACGGTGTTTTTACATAATGCACTGAAGTTATTCCATATTAAAATGCAGTGCTTATAAAAAAAAAAAAAAATTAATTTTTATCTTTGTTGAGATTGTCTGCTAAAGATGGTAAGATCACCTACTCTACCTTTTTTTAAAAAGTGTGCAAATGGAGATACTGGTTTGCCTTAGGGGCAAAAGCAACTATAATACTGTCATTAATACTGTGTTATGCCAAGTACAGACTTCAGGAAATATGACATACTAATATCTGTATAACTTCCTCTTTCAAGCTCTTTCATGGAGCCTCTTGCATCTCGTCCAGGGCTGTTTTCAGCTTTGAAACATAGAATATTGTATAAGACTTTGCCACAAAGAAGGAAATGACATCATTGGTGTACCTATTCTATTTCTGCCTTTCACTGGATGTCTGCATCAAAGATGGAAATTTAAACAGGAATATTTTGGTTGACTTATAAAACCTAGTAGTGTTGCATATGTGTCCCTCTAGGCACTACATATCATTCTTTCCTCTTCTAAAATTGGGAGAAACAGCTTTCTGTCATGCTCATATCTGCCTTTTTTCCTTAGCTTCTCTGTCTCACATCTTCCTTCCTTTTGCTTTTTCAAAAAAAGTTCTGTGTCCTGCTTGTGGTTTGTAGAGTAGATTGTATTGACTTTTGCTAGTAGTTCACTGCCCTTAAGTCTATTACATTGATCTTGCACTTTGACACTTTCATTTGTACTCCATAATACCCAAAGTGTCTTCCTGGTCCTCACTGATTCTGATGCAGTTTGCCTGTTTCTTGATAGAGGAAAACCACCCCATCTGGATCTGCTTATATTTATGAAACGGTATTGACTTCGTACATCTGCACATAAAAAGCTTTCTCTCTCATCCTGTGAGAATGATAGCCCCTTGCTGATTGTGTTGTTCATAAAATTGACTATTAATATTTTGTCATGGAAATATTCTCAGGAAAAGCTGTTAATTTTACAATTTTACTTTCCAGTTTTTACAACAATAACAACAACAAAAAAAGGCTTTGGAGGAGAGATTAATTTCTTTTTAAATTGCTGCGCCTTTACAAGGTGTCATTTTTCTTTAGATAGTAGCATGGAAGAGTAAGCAAAGAATTGGTCTGCTCCTCAGGGAGGAGCCATGCCATGAAAGGAAAATCTTTTTGTATGTTGTGGCAAATAAAATAGGAAATGACTGAAGAGGGCCCACCAGTTGCAATAAAAGGCAAAGCTTTCTTTACTGAGGAAGAATAGAGAGTGCCTGAATTTTAGAGTAAAAAAATTTACTTTATCGATTGGTTTTTGCTCTTCAGAAGTGGAGCAAAATATTCGTTGATAAAGTGGCAGAGAACCTTAATATATTAAGAGAGTAATAATTTTTAAGGATAGCAATATAGCAAGTCCATGTTATGGCCATAAAGCTGTTTTATTTTTGCAGGAACATGCAGATACATTCAAAAAGTGTGATTGCATTGAAGCCCTGAAAGTACTGGAATGCCTCCTGCTTGCCAGCCTTCTTTAAGCAATGTGCTTGAGAAAGAGGAGGGTGAGCTGGTTTGGAGAAGTATCATGCCACTTATATTTGTGATTGGCTCAAGTGCTGATAGGCTTATAGGCTGAAAAATGTAAAAATATTTATGTGCCCATGTAGGTTGTTACTGGACAATATGTTGGCTTCTTTGTGATATTTATAATGTGAAAGAATTTTGAAGGTTTTCCCTTCTGTATCTTTTTTTACCTTTTTTTTTCCTCCTTCTTTTTTTTTTTCTTTCTTTCCTCCAACCCACTCTTTGTCTCTTTCCCCACCCTGTTCTTTGGGAAACAGAGGGAAATGCTTGCACTAGTTATCAAAACAAGTTGGTTTTGATTCTGTATGTCCTCAAAATAACTCTTCCCATTTCCTGGCTCCACACAAACTCTACTTCAGATCCAAACAGCAGTCCTGAAAGGCAAGCTTCAGGAATTAACAAGAAATGGCTTCCTCCCCCCCTTCTGTTGTCTTCCTCTTCTACAGTAAAAATTGAAGTAATCACTGCAGATAGGGTAGCTTTAATAATATGCTCCACTGGTTGTCTACAATGTTGGCCTATAATCCTTCAGTGTATAGAAATGTTAACTGCCCACACTAAAAGTTTGCAAATAAAGTAACTTATTCCCATATTACTTAAGGAAAATATTTTGAAAGCTTGAAATGCAGCGGTAATATAACATTAAACTTGAAAAATGTTGACTGAGAGAAAATGTTTTCTTTTCAAAACCATACAAGTGCTTGGAAAAAAAAAAGAAAAAACCCCACTTTCCTTATAAAATGTCAGCTCTTATTCTGAATCTTCACATTAAGCTTGTTAAAATACCTACTCTTTTACTGTAACAAACAGCAGACATATGGGAGGGCAGAATAAATTGAGAACACTTAATCAATTGGGATCAAGAACACCAGGCAATAGCACATGAATGTAATACTCTTTTGGTCAGAGTATGGTCTCTGATGTGTCTTTTCAAGTGGAGTGCCTGTAATTTTCTTGGTTGAAGAGACTGTGATGGGAAGAGACACAGCTGAAGTATTCCTGCATCCAGTCTGTACTGTATTTTTGAAAGCCTCATTGCTTTCAAAAGCTACAAGGGGGACGTGTTCCTACAGGGGGATGTGTTCCTTCTGTAACCGTGACCAAGCACACCCTTACCTCCAGTAGCAGTCTCTCAATTTCTTGTGTGTCAGTCTACACACATGCAATACAATAAAGCCCCAGTTAATGCAAGTAACATAAATACCACCCTAATTGGTAAGTGATTTAAAAGTATTTTATATCTGAGTGTGGCAACATAAACTAAATGTTGTAGAACCCATGAAGGGTATGATAACGGGCATCTTGCTGAGGGATATAGGATACCAGAGGATGCTTCAAAGAGAGCTATAGTCCTACATTGTTAAATATTTTTGCACAGTGCCTTAAAGACAAGAATCATTGTCTTTTTGTAATGCTTGCACCGCTTCCAGAAAGTTAACGTCCTCTTTCATGATAGGAGTCCTTGGATGCCGCACTAATACCAATGATAATAATAAGCATATAGCAATCTGCCTACATTTGAGGAATTCAAAGAATAGTCAAAGGGAAATGTATAAAGTAGTAGAAGGAATTATGAATAGAATCAAATTTATCTTGGAGGAAAAAAAGAAAATTTAAGACTAAGGAGTACCCAATAGTAAGATTTGGGAGTACCTTCAGAGAAATAGTAGCAAATCTATTAGATTAGTAATTTACAGTTAGACTAGGCAAACTAGACAAGATTATACTGTTAACCTGAAAAATCCAGGAGGAGGAGAGAGGTACATTATTTAATAGCAATTTCCAAAATTCTAAGGTAGACTACTGTAATATTTTCATTTAACAGTGGATATACAGAAAATCACTGTAGTTCATAAGTCTGTCTATATACCACCATATCAAGATCAGTACTAAAAAAATCTAAGTAAATCAGACATAAGTGGGAAACTTTATATATAACATGATTTACTCATACTTCAGTGTGTAAACATTATAAATATCCTACAGCAATATAGAACTTCAGTAACAGATGGGTTGTCATATTTCTGAATTTCATTGGGTTTGGTAGCTTAAGTTATAACCTTAATATTGTGTTAATATGAATTACCTATTGGATTCACATCTACATTGAACTAATGAGATTTTCAAGCAAGCAATGTTTAAATTGGATTTAAGGGAAATAAGTGCTGGGAATAAGGGAATACAACAGAGAACATTATTACAGAATAGTCACTAGTACTTTGAATTTTATTTTAAACATTAAATAACCAGTGCACAACAAGCTTCATGATTAGAAAGTAATTGAACAAATATCTTGGTTTTGTTGGAAAATTGTAATCTATAAGTAATATCAGTAAAGAGTATATAATTTTCAAAAACAATCTGAATGCTTAAGGATTTTGATTATGTCATCTGAAGTGTTAAAAGTGAGCATTGAGGTATTGTAAATGAACAGATGGTGGTTACTTGTGCTCTAAAATTCACTTTAAAGCATCTCTTAAGCAGTTTTGTGAATATGCATCATGACTGAGTGAAACTAAATGTGGGTTTGTACTAAAGGCTTTTTGTGCTTTACTGTTTGTATGCATTTATTGGCCTAGATAGACAGTCTATTACTTTATGGCGTTGCCTTTGGCTCTGTTTCATACTGTGGTGTAGATGCCTTCTCCTAGAACTGCTTCTTTGGTTCTTTTTGCTTCACAGTAGCCTTTCTTAAAAAGCAGAAAAATAGTGAGTACCTTTTATAATAAGTTCACTGATGGGCATCTGATCCAATAAAGGCAACGAACAAATAAAAGGCAACTAAACAACAGTGTTCTTCAACAGGAATGAAGCTGGTCCTGTGTGAGATTGAAAATTCATTTTAACAATTGCATTATTTCAGGACTTTAAAAAAAATAAAAATAAAAGGAGGCTGGTTGTCTTCCCTCCTGACTGCAGTAGGTTGATGCCCTATCATCATCATTATTCCAGTGCCAACAACTGTGTAACTTATTGTCATATTGCCCCTTTAGATGTGCTTTAGCGTAGTCCAGGAGACTGTTAGAAAGGAAAGCAACCAAAGTTGTCATGTAAACCATATATTTGCTATCTAAGTGCAATCCATTTTTGCTACTATGCATGAATGAATCTTCTGTTGTTAAACAGAGACAAGAGTTGTTAGGGTTGGACAAGGTGACCTCCAGAGGTCCCTTCCAACCTCAACCATTCTATGATTGTGTGAGTATGAAGCTGTCTTGTATTAGGACTTATTTTTAATCATTACCTTGAAATGAAGTTAGAGACAGCCTTATGGGTAAGCTGATGAATTGGCTGAGGACTTTGAGTAGTTTATTAAATAAGATATCAATATTATGTCTTAATTAAAAGTACTATGCAAGGGGGAAAAAGGATGACTTGTATTCAAAATGCTTAACTTGGAAAGGAAGACCTCAGTTTTCAGGAAAAAAACAAACCAAACCCAACAAAAAACCCAAGTGAAAATTTCTTCAGTATTTACTCCTCTTCTTGTATACTAAGGTACCAAAGGAATAATGTTATTCCTGGTTTTATGTCACTGTTTGACAAAATGATTTCCTGTAGATTCTGTAAATTTTATACTAGCTTTGTTAGATGCAACTTTGCAGTTAAATCTGTAAAATAACATGATTGATATTTTTGACAAATCCTTCTTGTGTTTTGTGACTACTGGTCTATAGCTCCTATCTTTGTTTCATTTAATAATTTAAAACAAAGTAGAGCATATTCTTGACCTTCAGTCAATGATGTGTAATTATTTTACACCTGTATCTTGCACCATTTTTTATATTCTGTTTGATTATTTTGCTTGCTTTAACCTGCATAGGATGAAATAATTTAGTGAGAGCATATCCCTGAAGTATCTAAGAAATAGAGATTTAGTTTAGTTATTTAAGCTCTTCCTGGGCTCTGTGCAGGGAATTGACATCTTCAAAGTACTGTTTGACCCACTTAAAGTTAGTTGTGTAGGACAGGTGGGGTGATTTGTGCTCTAGAGATGTGTTTCGTACCCTCCGCAACTGATAAGGGAATCTAGACAAAGAGCTTAAATTCAGCCTAGCTTTTAGGTGGCTGCGGTTTTCTGGGAGGGATCCACCTGCTGTGTATTTCAGTTTTGACTTCTGATCTGTTGATAATTTGACATATATTTGAGATGCTGTTTTGTCTGTTTTATTTTTATAGTCAGTTAAAAACTACACCAAATGTCATGTGAGAAATGAGCAGATCTGCAATAAACTGACCAGCTGCAAAAGCTGCTCGCTACACCTGAACTGCCAGTGGGACCAGCGGCAGCAGGAGTGCCAGGCACTACCTGGTAAGGGCTGTGGGGCAGCAACCCTGCTTTTTATAGTTGTTTTCAAAACTGAGTAAATCTCCTCCATTATTGCCAAAGAATATTTGTTCAATGAGTAGACCTGGATTTGTTTCACTTGTGCTGACTCTCCCTGCCTAACCATGCCTGTGCAGGTGAACACAGGTGTAATTACATCGCTGATTGATATATCAATGCTACCTTTAAACTTGTTAGGAGAGTTAATAATATTAGCGAAGGCATAATGGCATGTATCTCTCTGCACAAGCCAGTGACGAGTTCTAGCCTGTGGGGATCACTGAGTGCAGAGCTGAATTGCTGTACTGAGTCCTTTACTGTTACATATTCACTGACACTGTTACTTTTGCTAACTGGGGTCTTATCTTATAAATTATATTTCAATTATACTTCAATTTCCCTGTGCAGATAGGGCCCTAAGATCTAGTTTCTTGATTGTCTGATGTTGGTAATACTATGAAAGCAGTGAATATTAAAATGCTAATATAAAACACCCTTAGAAGGTGACTGTTAACATTCTGAAATAATATTTATTCTGTAATTCATATTCATAACTACATATATGCAGTTAGATATTAGAACCTTTTCCATTTGATCTTTATGTCCAGATGAAGTTAATGAACACATTTTTTTCACAGAGATTATTCATTAAATAACTTTATTCATTAAATAACTTTAATCAATTTATTCTGTGCAGTTTAAAACTGCATTTGTGTAATCTTTGTAAAGATTAACTATAACAGTTGTTCTGAATTACTTACTCATCTTTTAATAGTTATGTGAATCTGAGTAATGCTGAAATATGTTGAAGAGGAAATATTTTCTAAGATCTTACCTTTGATGAATTTACTATCATTCTGATGATTGCATTTGTATTTAGGCAAATCTAAATGCAAAGATAGGATGATAAAGCAAAGATAGGGTAAAGTTGTGATCTCTTAATTCTAGGACAGGTGTTTTCAGATTTTGAAATTTACATAACACTTAGGTAAAGCGATTGGTTAAAGCACTATTAATTATGTACATAATCTAGTATTTAATATTTAGTTGTGCTCAAATCTGAATATAAGGAAGAAATAGTGTCATAATGATATTGTTACACTGAAAATTAGCATATACCTTATAAATATTTTGTAAGTTGTTAAAAGTTTCTTTTCATAAAATACACTAATCAATATGATACTACTTGGTGTTTTAGAATTTATGTGATGTGAAAAGGGAAATTGAGTGTGGGATGTATTTTGAATTATGATGTCAGGAAGATAAAATTCAGACTCCCTTGGGTTTTTAAAAGTTTTTTAAAATCGGCTTTAATCATATCCTTTTTACACTAGCTCATCTGTGTGGGGAAGGGTGGAGTCATATTGGAGATGCCTGCCTCCGCATAAATTCTAGTCGTGAAAGCTATGACAATGCCAAACTGTATTGCTACAATTTAAGTGGGAATCTTGCCTCATTAACAACCTCAAAAGAAGTGGAATTTGTCCTGGATGAAATACAGAAGTATACACTTCAGGTAACTTCAGTAACTGTAATTGATGCTTAAGTGAATTAAATTTGCTTTGAGAAATCTATTTTAGGGATTTGTCCAAAGAGAGGAAAGTTTATGCCTTCAAAGAAATGTAGCATGGTGCTAAAGACTGATATAAGTCGTGTGTAGGATATTAAGGAAATCTCATGTTTAAAGCTAATGATACAGCAGTTCCCAAGTGTTTTTTCTTATCAGATTTAACTGTTACAGGTTACTGTTTACTTTCAAGATGTGACTCAAGAGAATGGCTGGAACACTGATCTGGGAAATCCCAGCCCCTTTAATACACTGTGACAGCCGGAATCAAAACAAGACAAAATAATTTTCACTGTAACAGAGAAAGAAATCCCAACTTTCACATCAGTATCCATAAAACTGCTTGCAGGATTGGTTTTGGGTGGTCAATAGCTAGGCTGCAAGCAATTGAGGACAGGAAGGTACTGAAGATGTGTACTTCTCTTCTCTGGAAAATCCTAGCTCCCTATATAACTGGTATGTGGGATCAAAGGGTCACAGAGAAGCTGTACTAGTATGTGAAGCATGTGTATTCCCTGTATGGCAGCACCAGAATGAGCCAGGAGCTAATTAGATTTCTGTGATAATGGTGGGGGAGGGAGAGGGCTGAAAACTCTTATATTCCTCTGGCAAATACAGGAAGCTGCCATCAGAATATTCCTTAGGAAAGCGATCCATATTAACTTGTTAACTGTGGGACAAAAGAAGGGAAGTTGAAGATTAATTACCTGTCCATGGGTGGTCAGGTTCAGTTTTTCAGCAGTTAAATGTTCAAATGCTTATCGCTGTTTAAACTGTTGGAAAGCCTACCCACATCATCGATACACGTATGTGAAATACATGTATGTTCAAAAAATGTCAAACCCCTCAGTGTACCCTCAGACAGAATGTCTTAGCAGATAAGATTCCATTACAAGCAAATCAGTTCACCTCAGCAAAGGACATTTTTTAAAGTGTGTATTTTGATTTGTAGAACATGCACCATTTCTTTGTCTGTAGAAAAAACCCTAATTTTTAAATAGCTTAGGATTTTACAGTTACAGGAAAATGAAAGATAATTATGAATAATAGTTAAAGCTCTATAAAGCTAGTATGTGGTTGGCAAAGCTGTTATGTTGCAGATGAATTGAGATGCATACAAAGGAAACAGCAGTTAAGGGTTGCCTTTGTGTTATACTAAATCTGAATGCAAGAGTTTAGGGACATATACTGTGAATCAAAATATTCTATATTATCCTTTTTAGTGTTTCATTTCAAGAAGGAGATGCGAACATAGGTTATGTACTTCAGTTTTGGGGTTTTTTTCCCAACAAATGTAGGACCTGGACAGGGCAAAATTTTTTTTACTAGAAAGATATGTATTTTCTATTATTTGCTAATAAAGGAGAGAGAGAAGTAATTCTTCTATGTCAGAAGATGTCCCCTGATATTGTACTTGAAACACATTCTGTCTGTCCACTCCTTGATATGAGATAATGTTGAAAATGTAATTGAAACCAAAATAACAAAATCACAAATGGCAATGATTTCTCTAGTTAATTATTTTGCTGCCTTTTTTTTTTTTCTCTTTTTTTTTTTTGTCTTCCTGATTCCTATTAAAATACTGCACAGGAGGCCTTCAAATCTAATAGTGCGTGATAGAGTATTGATATGACTGATATTACCTGACTGGCTTGAGGTGTAGATGAGAAATAGCTTTTTTTTAATGTTTGGAAGCTAGATTTTTCTTACATTTCAGAGCTTAGAACTTCTACAAGGTGATATCCTGCTGAGCATATCTTTTTTTAAATGAAGTATATCCTGAGCCAAGGTGGTGATGTAAATTTGAGATACTTCACATACAGTTTATGCAATTGTAGACAAATGTATGCACTTCAAAAGTATATCTTGGGTTAAGTGATCATTCAGTTATCAGAATCTCTAATGAAATTCTACCGTGACTTATCCTGGTGTTTTCAGTGACATTTAGGAAAAAAATTTTTTTTTTTTCATTTGTATCTGTCTGTCCAGTTACATTTATTCTGTGTGAGATAGCCTAAATGACTTATCAGGTGTGACAGAGGATCTCTGAAACTTCCTGATTTTTCTTTTGCCTGCCTTTTCCTCTCAAACTGCAATCATAATGATTTAAGGAGTGAGATTTCATTTTAGATGGCTTGTTTTTGTGACAGGTGGTGGTGTGGACTTCACAAATGTAGTCAGAGCAACTGTAAGGTGAACACTATGCCTTTACTCTGTATTATCTATGGTGGAGTTTGACTTGTGTGGTTAACATCGAAGGCTTTAAAATCTTTCAACTATGGGAAACAAAAGCTTTCAGGATTAGTGAATGTGTCAGAGCAGCATTTGGAAATAAGAATATGGATCTGTTATTATCTCTGCTTTATTTGATATTCTTATACTGAGAAAAGAAAACAACATCGGTAACTGTTGTGTATTTTACAAACTGTTAACATAGTGTCAGTAAATACTACAGCCTGGAAGAATTTAAGAATAATTTATTGTTCGTAGAAACAATGTGGGACCTTGTAGATTGTTTTCTAATACACAAAGTCCTTATTCTGGGACAAATTTAGGACAATTTCTTCGTCATGTTTAGAATGATACAAATCATTGATGCTTTGGAAAGATTCAGAGGGAGGAGGCTGCCATTGTCTCCACACCCTGTCCAGACCTCATTGAGAATCAATAATTTCTCTTAATTCCAATACTAAATTGGAAATCAATACATTGCCTCCTTTTAAAGGATAGGGAGAAGGTTTATTTGGTACTAGAGAGAGGGACAAAACAAAGACCTTGTAATATGAAGTCAAAACACTGTTGAATTTGCAAATGTATTCTAAAACTATCACCAATAATTTAAAGTCTAATTTGTATTTTTCACTGAAAATAAATGAAATTCTTTAAGAGAATGCCAAAGTAAATACAATCGATAGACTGCAGATTCCTGTACTAAAGCAAAATGACACTTGATATTTTTTCTTATATGCTGTTTTATTGACCTAGTAAGCAAAATACTATGAAAGGGAAGATTCAAGTTTTTCTGCAAAGTAGATTAAACAGCAATATGAGGTTAATTAATTGTTCCTGCTAATATTCAAATGTTGTATACTCATGTAAATGAGCAATTAGTTCTCTTGGGAGTTTGCTCACTGTGTGAGTGTGGGATTTAACTAAAAATAATAATTTTCTTGTTAGCATGCAATAAATTCTGAGAAGATTTAGTTTTGGTGTAGTAAGCATAAACAAAGATGAGAACAGTTTTAAACAATGGCTTTCATTACGTAAACTGTTTGCAACTTTTCCTTTAACTCAGTATTCTCAGGGCTAAGCATCCTTTATAAATTACACTTGAGTGTAGGCTGCAGTTAATTAGTGAGCTTTGCATGGTGATGTTATTCCTTGTTAGCTCAAAGTATTCTCAGAGGGCTGTATATTTTTATGGTTTTATCATATGTTTGGCTGTAGAGAAGCTGACATGTACTTTTTTTCTGAATCAGTCCCATTTTACTACAGTTTCTAGCAGTCCCACTTTACTATAGTGGGTTTGGAAGTTTAATAAATTATTTCAGCACTGTGTCTCCATACTGGAGTTGTTGCATTGACTGCCCATTCGTTCACCTCTAGTTTAACTGTCTTCCTACTTTAAGGAGCTGGGGAGCTCAACTCAGCTTGGATGCCTGGGAAGAGAACCTGAATTTCCAAAAAAATTGTCCCCTATAAAGAAGAAAACTCAAGGGTATCTAAACCAAAGTCACACTGGAATAGTAGCTATAATCTCTGTAGATGGAAATTGGGGAAGTTGGAGTCTTTTCAGTTTGCCAGATTTTACATGTTTTTTTCACCAATGCCACAACAGCAAAATTTGAAAAGACTAGGAGAAATAAGTGTTCTTATGACCTAATACATGACTCCTACTACTAATTACATCTAGATTTCATCATTTGTGTCTAACAGATACTCAGACACTTAAAAACCATGAAGCTTGCTTCCACTGCTTCTAATGGGTCATTCACTGGGTAAATATTTACAAAATATGAAATGTGTAGGTATCTAGCATAGTTAGAATCGATGCATAGTTAAGGAATAGAAACCAAGCAATGAGGTAGTAAATAGAATGGATGGCTTCTCTTCATATACCTCTTATTTTCAGTAAGCAGGTTTTTTGTTCATAATGATGCAGAAAAGAGCCAAACTAACTGCAAGCCCTTCTCAAAACTGTGAACGTTGTGGAAATATGAGCACTAAGGGGCCACTGTATTTTCAAAGTTTAATTGTATGTTTCTTCCTAGGGCAACTATTTTCCTAGAAATCGAGGAGTTCAAACGACTCTTGAAAAGTTTGTTGAAGTTCGGTAATAACATATTGTGATGCACACATTAGAAAATGAGTCAGAAGTGTATCATACACTTCCAGGACAATTTAAGATCCAAAGTGAAAGGAATTTAAATGAAGGTGGGGATAAATTTCTGAAAGAGAGAGATAATTCCTTAGCAATTTGCATAATTAAGAAACAGAGGCGAATTTTGAGCCTCAGTAGTAATTGGCTATTCAATAAAGATAGACTTGTTCACTTCACTCATCTGCAAATTATTCAGCCCTCATTAAATTGGTGCTGAGGTAGCAGTAGTGCCTGGAAAATTTGTCATGACTATAAATGATCACATCCACTGTAGATCTCAAAGCAGCTTAGTCTGACTTAAATTTTCTGAGTAAACAGTGGATTTAACATGAAGTATCAGCTCTGTAGTTAAGGATACACAATTTTCCTTTCTAACATAGTTCCATAATTACTACTTAAAAGAAAATTAAAATTAGGTGGTTTAGAATAAGAGAAGAGCACATTTTTTGAAGTTATTAGTGATCAGTGTAATGGCTAAAAACTTGCCTTATGTTCAATTAAATGGGACTGTAGAGGTGAGTGCAGAATCACGTTCTATTGGTATGCATTGTATGACTGTAATTTTGCT